TCCCCCAAGCCTTTGCACTGCTTCTGAGGGGTGCAGGAAATATGGTTCTGTACTTTAAATGAATTACTCCTCAGAGTTCTGTATTCATATGCCTAGTAAGAATCTATTTGTCCAAAAACATTTCCTGAATCTTTTTTTGTTGTCTGTATTGTTACAGACATACTTGCTGACAGGTATTTTGAAATAAATTACCAAATTAATTGAAACTGGCATGATTATATTGTGTTATTTTGACAAATAAAATAAGCAGATTTTAAAATATTTGTGCAGAATTTTAATTTTTTTTGGCACAGAATTCCCCCATTAGTACTATATGCTATGAATGCAGATGACTCCCTCTGTATGTAATAACCTACCAACAACAGTCTACTAAAGGATCCCAGCTCTCTCATTCAAATCCCCTTTGGAATACTGATTTCTATCAGGCTCAAAAAATTATTACAATTATTTTTAAAATTTAATATGATCTTTTTCCTCCAGGTCTCCCAGTGCATTTTTTCTATACTTTTCCATTTTTCCATTTTCTGCATTTTTCTTGGGCACAGACTTTGATATTTTTGTCTTGTACATTGCTGAGTACATAGATATTGTGGCTACATTCTTTTAGTTTGACGTAATTCTTGATTCAAACTGATGAGCCAAATCAGGATAGACTGTTTAAATGGATGTACCTTACATCCAGTAGCTTCAAAGCCTAGAGGGAAAAGACTCCAAGCTCAAAGCAAATTGAGTGGTACACAGCTAATGAAAGACGACAGAGAGAAAATACTTTCCCCTGCAATAGAAAATTAGTTCTCTACATTATTTTCTATACTCATATCTGTAGCTGGATTTATCTGCAACAGAAACTAGTCCATTACTTTTCTTGGGTAAACTGTCAGATGGCCTGGCTGCTTGGGGTCACGTGTCTTTTTTTTTCTCCAATTGGCATGCATGTATTATCTGAAACTTAGCATGAAGAGTATAAAACCACTAAAACCTATGGCTTAATAATAGAAATGCATATAGAACTTCATAGCACCATGTTTCCCAAACCATTAACAAAGAATAGGCTACATAAAGAATTTATAATATCAGTAGATACTTACCTTGTTTTAATATAACATTACTACATTTAGTGACTGCAATCTTCGTATTATCAATAGGGCCTGGAGGATCTAATGTGGAAAAAAAAAAGAATGGATAAAAGATTAGGACTCTGAAAATGGAAAGAAAGTAGTTTTTATTTTTATTTGTTTTAAAGAGCATTGCAGTTGAGTTGCCTCCCATTTGGTCTACTCACTGACTGCTGAATTGTATACTTTGTACGGAGGAAAAGGAAACAGATGCTTTCAGCAACAGTACTATGATATGAAGTCACAAATGGACATTTTTCAAAGAGTAATCATTGCAATAATGAATAAAATCTTCAAGCAGTTTCAAAAGCAAGTAGCCACAATTGCTATCCTTGCCCAATCCCCAAAATAGGTATTAACGAATATTTAAATTGTAGCTTTACAAAAGAGATTTGCACCTGAAGACAGCTCTATTAATGACACTAGTACGCTATGAAATTGACTTCCTGCATAATATTAGGAACTATCAAAGTATGCATTAAATATTTTCTTTACTATTCTGCTCATGATATTCTTTGTTCTATCCTTCTGACAACATTCAGACATAATTTACTTTACTGTTACTACTATTTGATAAGGCAGAGAACATAATGAAAGAGCACAGATTACCTACCTACTGAAGAGAGTTTTACAGCCCCACATAGCTACTTACCACTGTCTTTCCCCTTCACAAATCCTTCCCATTCTCTGAACCACTGCATACTGATGCAGTAAAAAATGGATGGAGATTCTTCTTCTTGGAATGCTCTGTTGAGCTGGAAAAAACAATAAAACAGACAAGCCCATTACCTGCATTGTTATAGTTAGATGCAAAATGATTTTTTTCATTAAACCATGATTTCTATCTAGTATCTGATGAGTAAAGCAGCAATATTTGGATTGATACAAAATTATTTAAACGTTCTCAGGGTATCAGAGCAGTAAACACTTGATAGTCTTGAATCTCAAGAAAATATCTGAAAGTCAAATCCTACTTCATTTGAGAGTTTAAAGATTTTAGGTTTCCTTTGAATAAGCTAGTACCATAACTAACAACCAGGGCCGGCTCCAGGCAGCAGCTTACCAAGCAGGTGCTTGGGGCGGCCATACCAGAGAGGGGACGGCACGTCCGGCTCTTCGGCGGCAATTTGGCAGTGGGTCCCTCACTCCCGCTCGGAGCGAAGGACCTCCTACCGAAGTGCCGCAGATCTCGATCGTGGCTTTTTTGTTTGTTTTTTGTTTGGGGGGAGGAAGAGGGGGGCTGCTTGGGGCGGCAAAATCCCTGGAGCCAGCCCTGCTAACAACTAAAACTAATGCTCCTGTATTGAGCATAAGAGTGTCCACCACCAACCATTTCAGGGGAATGTCAGGGAAACCCAGACTCAGATATGTGAAAGAAGAATGAGTTACATTTTATTTTACCATATAAACAGCTTTGCAATTCATATATCTAAACCTGGTTTTCTTAATGACTTGAGATCTTGCTGACTTTCCTTCAAATGAGACCTTAAAGAAAAAACTGATTTTGTGCCCTGTTTTCTTTGTTATAATGTAAAAAGACAGCATGAAAGAAGTTTTTATACCTAGTTTTTTAACTCTACAAAAAATGGTTACTAGCCTTCCATAACTGCTTTTCTTCAACACAGGCGCCAACAAATGTTGGGTGGGTGCTCATGTCTTGGCCCCGCCCCCAGCCCCGCCTCCTCCCCCAAGCACGCTGTGTTCCCCCTCCTCTCACCTCGCTCCCAGGTTTGATGTGCGAATCAGCTGTTTCGCAGCGGAAGCGCTGGGAGGGAGGGAGGAGAAGCAGGACCCGGTGGCGCGCTCAGGGGAGGAGGCGGAGGTGAGCTGGGGCGGGTCGGGGAGCTGCCGGTGGGTGCTGAGCACCCACCAGTTTTTCCCTGTGGGTGCTCCAGCCCCAGAGCACCCACGGAGTCAGTGCTTATGTTCTTCAAGATGTCTTGCTCATGTCCATTCCGTGCAAGGTGTGTGCACCACATACACAGTTGCCAGAGATTTTTTCTTTAGTGCTATCCGGAGGGCTGGCGATATGCTCATGGAGCCCCGTGCTCATGCGCCATATAAGGAGCGCCACTGGCTCTGCGCCCTCTCAGTTCCTTCTTGCCATCAATTTCAACAGAGGGGTAGGAAGGCGGGTCATGGAATGAACATGACCAACACATCTCAAAGAACAACAACTGTTTTTTTTCTTTGAGTGCCTGCTCATGTCGATTCCATGCTAGTTGACTCCCAAGCAGTATCCCTGGTGGTGGGCTCAGAGTTCACGGACATGCTGCTTGCAACTCTGCTCTTCCGAAACTGGCACTGTCCCGGCCTGCTGGATGATGGCGTAGTGGGAGACAAAAGAATAGACCAGGGGTCTCAAACTCAAATGACCACGAGGGCTACATGAGGACTAGAGCTTTGGCCTGAGGGCCGCATCACTGACATACACCCCTCGCTGCCCCCGGGGGGGGGGAGTTTGGCGGTGACAGAAAGTAACTCGGGGGGGGGGGGGAGCTTGGCGGGCCGCAGGGAAGAGCTCCGCAGGCCGCATGTTTGAGATCCCTGGTATAGACCGAAGACCAGGTAGCAGCTCTGCAGATTGGTACTTGCATGAGGAACGCTATTGACGATGCCTGTGCCCTCCTGGAATGGGCAGTCATGACAACCAGGGGCGACACACTCGCCTGTTCATAATAAAATTTGATGCAGGAGGTTATCCAAAATGAGATCTTCTGGGACGATACCAGCAGACCTTTCATCCTGTCTGCCACCTCTATAAAGAGCTGCGTTGACTTGCGGAAGGGTTTTGTTCTGTCGATGTAGAAGGCCAGGGCCCGTCTAACAGAAGAAGGAACTATATACAATAAGAAAAGTCTAAACCACTAGGGTAAGAAGTCTTGTGAGAGCCGAAGACCGTTCCAGCAACCGTCACAGGTGGTAAGAAGGAAAAGAAGGAACTGTGAGGTCACAGGTCTGGCGACACCCCTTATAACAGCGCATGAGCGCAAGGCTTGAGGGGGTGCTACAGCCAGCTGAACAGATACCACTAAGGGAAATATCTCTAGCAACTGTGCAGCACGCATTAAAGAAGTTAATATTTAGATTGTTTAAACTTCTTATTTCAGGATTGTGTTTGTTAACATCTATTTAATTAAAACAACTAACAACTGGAGGGAAAAAAATCAGTTTGTTAAAGATTCTCCAGCTCAGGCCCTTCAAGAACTCGGAAAGTTCTTATTTCTGGGTCTTCCAAGAAGACTCTGAGGAAAACAGGACAGAGAAGTAGAATTTTTTTTAAAAAACCTTTCAACTCTTCTTTCTACATCATAAAAAAAGATTTTTTCCACTCAGCAGGTAAACTCTTCCTGGTTAAGATGCTATCTCCCCTATCTTTCTGGAAGAAGTGATGGTGATCATAGAATCATAGAATATCAGGGTTGGAAGGGACCTCAGGAGGTCATCTAGTCCAACCCCCTGCTCAAAGCAGGACCATCATCTTCATGGAAAGTCATGGATTCAAATGGCAGACTAGTCAGTCCTTTTAACACTAGACTGAGGTCCCACTGGGGTGGGGGTGGATGCCTGGGTTGTGGGAAGAGGTTTGCTATGCCTTTAAGAAACCTCTTTGTAGTTGGGTGGGAGAAGATTGAGTAGCCTTCTACCTGCTGGTGGAAGGTTATGATCGCTGCTAAATTAACCTTCAGCGAGCTAATAGAGAGACCCGATTTCTTTAAGATCAACAAGTAGTCTAGGACCACCACTGGGGTGGCTGAATTAGGGGTGACACCCTTGGGTTGGCACCAGATCTGGAACCTCTTCCATTTCTGAAGTTAGGTACGACGTGTAGTGCCCTTTCTACTGTGTAATAGCACCTCCTGTACCTCCTCAGAGCAAGATGTTTCTATGTGCTGGAACCATGAAGGAGCCACGCTTTGAGTCGCAGGAGCTGCAGATTGGGGTGGAGGGTGTGACCCTCGTTCTGTGACAGGAGGTAAGGAGTGATCGGTAGTCATCGGTGGACGTAATGCCAGCTGCAACATCTGCCTGGGCCAGGTGGGGGCAATCAGAATGATGTTTGCTTTTTCCCTTTTTATCTTCAAGAGAACTTTCAGCAATAGAGGAAATGGGGGAAAGGCATAAAGAAGGCCCTTGTCCCAAGGAAGGAGGAGAACGTCTCCCATGGAGTGTCAACCAATCCCTGCCCTGGAACAGTACTGTGGACACATTTCTTTTTTTGGTGAGTAGCAAACAAGTCTAGTACCGGCATACCCCATTGTCAGAATATGTTGTGTAGAATCGATTCTATTTCCCATTCATGGTCGTGTGGGAATTTGCGGCTGAGACTGTCGACTATCGTGTTGTGTATTCCTGGTAGATAAGCCTCTGAGATTAAGATGTTGTGGCAGATGCACCAGTTCCATAGCTTCAGTGCTTCTACAGACAGGAAATGAGACCTGGCGCCTCCCTGTCAGTTTATGTAGTACATGCAGGTCACGTTGTCCATCATGACCTTTGTATGCATGTCCTTGACCAGTGGGAGGAAGTGAGCGCATGCATTTCTGACCACTCTGAGCTCAAGCAGGTTGATGTGGAGACACATATCTACTGGAGACCATCTGTCATATGTTGTATGGCCATTGAGATGCGCTCCCCAACCTATAAGGGATACGTCGCGGGGGGGTCAGGAAAAGGGATGGGGAAGACTGAGCAAACAGGGTCCCATACAGACGTTTACTGGGTTCTTCCACCAGTCTAAGGATTGCTTGACCCTGGTGGGCATCGATATAAGCTTGCCTATGTTGTCTCTGTTTGGCCTGTAAACCAAACTGAAGCAAAACTGCCGCTTCAAGATAGAGGGCTGAGTCAATTGTGGTCCCGATTGCTTTCCCTTGGGGAATCTTGATTTCTTTCTCTGTTGTTCATAAGATCTCTGACAAATATTGAGGTGTTTACTGCAATGACAGGGACTTACACAGTGGCTAATGGCTGTATTTTCTTTTGTAGGCCGGCATGTATATCCCCAGGGAATGATGGGTCGCCCAAGAACCCTTTAATGTGTGAAGGGAAGCATGTGTCTTTTCGGCGAACAGCTTCGTTTCCTCAAAAGGAAGATCTTCTACAGTGGTTTGGACCTCTTTCAAGAAGCCAGACAACTGCAGCCACGAAGCCCTTCTCATAACCACAGCCGTGGAAACTGAACAAGCTGCTGTGTCTGCCATGTCTAATGTGGACTGTAGAGATGTTTTCACCATCAGCTGGCCCTCATTAATTATCGCCATGAATTAGTCTTTGTGGGAGGTCTGGTATAAAGAAATTCACATAGTTCTGGTAGTCATATTTGGCCAACATGGCCCGGTAATTAGCCACCTGGAACTGAAGAGTGGCTGATGAATACACTTTTCTGCAAAACAGTTCCAAGTGTTTCCCATCTTGGTGGATTTAAACTGGTATTGGAGGCACGCGCACACACACACACACCTATAGTGGAGCACCCATAGGGACACTTCTCAAAGAAGAACTGATTGTTCATATGGTGCTGGCTCTATTCCTTGTTTCCACCTAAGTAGCACTAAAAAAAAAAATCAGCTAAAAACATATTCAATGTTTCCCTATTGTTACAGGTCCCACATACGCAATTGCCATAGATACCACAGGGCTATTATATTATTGCAAATGAGAGTAGGTGGTTCATGTAAAAAACCTGCTCTATTGAAATATGAATCACACTATGAAAGAATTTGAGAATCCTGGTCAAAATATTGCTTCTGAAGAATCTACAAGATAAGGACAAAAAAGACTGGAAAGTATCAGAGAATATTGATTACTAATTTTTACCCGAATAAACATTTCCAATTCAGTCTTCCTTCTTTTTTCAGTTTTCTCAGCCTCTATTTGGCAGGTATGACAAACATACAGGTGGTTAACAGCCGGTCCTCCCCCAAACCTATAATCATAGTAAATTTCATTATTAATTTCATGACAAATATTTCATATTTCTCCTCCACGAGAATGTCAGCACCAGATTCTGTTTGCTTTAATGACATGTGGCAAACACACTCAGAAGTATAGGCTGAATTTCTTATTTTTAATGCTTTTACCTTGGATAATTCATCTGTAAATTGGGGCAAAGCACAGCTGCACATACTAATACGAGCTGTTAAAAGTTGTCTATGATACACTCAGGTTCGGGTCACTAGGACACATGTAGGCTACCATTTATTCTCTGCACTACAGTAATATTTACCATAACTGGGGATACTGGCATTTGAACTTTGGAAACAAGTATCTTTCAGATTCTGCCTCGCTAGACCCAGTTTGAATAGTTTATTACTGAAATCTTCTCCTAATAAAAAGAGAGTTGGCCACAAGTTCCTTCAATGAACTGCACCAAGCTATAAAAAAAAAAAAGTATATTTAAAGATAAAAATAACCTTTACTGCTCTGAAACTATCCACTATCAAAATGCAAACAACTCCACCCCCTGCGCCCCCTCCCCCCCCCCCCAGCCTTCATGGCTATACCACAAAAAAGCTAGTAGCAGTTTATTACCTGTAAACCCAACAATTTTGAATGAAGAAAAAAAATTAATACAATTAACACAAAAACCATTAAAAAACCAAATACTTTTGGACATTTCTCCCAGATGAGGATTCAAACAGCAACTATTAGTCAGTTATTAACAATTCTATTTGCATTTTTAAATGCACAATTTATCTGACATACACAGAGTCATTCTAGCGGTTTTATTTCACTTTTGTTTCTGAAAAATAATGAGCACAAAACTAAAACAAAACTATGGAGGTGGACTGCAAGACAACTAAAACCCTCGGCCCCACCCCATGCCAGTAAAAACGTATTTGAAGTTTAAAAACAAAGGAGGAACAGTATATTTTTAAAATCCACCCACCACATGGCTTAAAGGAATTATCATCCAAAAGAATAAAAACTTCACCTGGTAATTCTGACTCAAAATCCTAATATAAGCATGTGTGATATGCCACATTAAAAATCTCCACTTCATATTTGTATGTCACCAAAACGATTTCAATGTATTTGCAAACATGTCACCAAGTTCTGTGTTGAAAAATATTGCAATGGGGATATTTATTATTGGCTCTCTACATCAGAGGTTCTCAAACTGCGGTCCGTGGATAGTTCCCTTAAGGTGCACGCCTGGCCAGCTGCACATAAGAGAACGAAGGGCCACCCACCTAATTAGTGGAGCCACGCAGGCATGGCTCCACTAATTAAGTGCCTGGACCCTGGAGAAGACACAGATGTAAGGTGGTAAGGTGAGGTGGTGGACTTGGGGGTGGGGGAAGAGGGGCCAGGTGGGAGGAGGCAGTGGGGTGAGAAGAGGGGGTGGAGGGAATTTGGGATGTGCAGGGCTGTGGTGGCCAGAGAAAAGGGTGACTTTGCCCAGTTCCAGGGCTGCGGCTGCCAGGGAGAGACGGCCCTCCTTCCCAGCCTCAGCTCTGTGGCAGTGGAGAAATCCCCCCTCCTTCCCAGCCCCAGCTCGGGGGCTGCCGAGGTGGGGGAAAGAGGGCACATCCATCGGATTAGAAAGGTAAGATTACTGTTATTAAAATATGAGTTGTGTGCTTTTATTTGTAGAACAAAAAACTGTTAATTATTATTAAGTTTTTTTTATATAGCACTTTTATCCACAGTGCTTTACAATAGTTAGCTAATGGTACACACATTTGGAAAGATCATTAAGTGGTCCACCGAGACCCTCAGCAATTTTCAAGTGGTCCGTGGAAAAAAAGTTTGAGAACCACTGCTCTACATGATTCCAACATCTAAACTTGGTCAAGGTCCACTGTTTTGTTCACAGAAGATTATTTCTCCGTTTCTTTACCTTTTCTGCCAACTGCTAGAACAGGGATCGGCAACCTTTGGCAGGTTTGGCCGATCGCGGCTCCCACTGGCCACAGTTCACTGCTCCAGGCCAATGGGGGCGGCAAGAAGTGGCGGCCAGCACATCCCTCAGCCCACGTCGCTTCCCGCAGACCCCACTGTGCCTGGAGCGTAGTTTTTTAAAATTAAATTAATGCTAAGTGGGTTTTTTTTAAACCACAATTGCAAGCCAGTCCTTTGAAGTAAAAGGCACTTTAATCTGAGTAAACAAGGCATTGTTGTAAAGTTGTAGCAGTACAAATAAGCTCCAGTCTAAAATCTGGCATTTATGATCTTGACTCCGAAGAGAATTTTATTTGAAACCTCTGAAGATAGTAAGTTTGGTTGTTAAGGACTATTATCACTCCACTTACAAAAATTTAATTTGTGAGGATATTATCCTTTAAGATATAAAAATATCATTTTGTTTAAATTAAAATTGAGTTATTTCATTACAATAAGATATTGTACCCACTCAGATTTTTGTCTCTTATCACGCATCAAACTTCATAGATGCATTCAAATCAGTGAGAGTCTTGTTTTAGCTCATGCACTAAACAATACTTTATAAGATCACATTTTAGATTTTGAACTACATTCTCTGCCGATATATATTTTCGACTGAACTAGATCATATGCTAATTATATTGTTTATTAAAAATAAAAGGGAAATGCACCCACTAAGAGCATTCTTCTTCTTCAGGAAATTTAGATTCATGAGAGCACCACATGTACACTCTTTAGCACTTTACTCAAAAGGACACCTCAACACCAGGGAGAGGATGAGAGAACAAATACCACATGACAAATGTTAGCCATGTTGCTTAAATTGGAAGGCACTTGGATACAGAGATGAGTGCAGCATAAGAACGAGAGCTAGTCAGTAATTTTCTGTCAATTATTTCCTGAGAGAAAATGCAATTTCTAGAAAATTTCAATTTTGCATGGAAAAATATTGATTTTTCCCACAAAATTGATTTCTTCTTAGAAATATCAAAATGAAATATTTAATTTGGTAATGGTTAACCCAAAATGGAATATTTAATATTTTTAATTCAACAAAACATAGTATTTCCCTATCATGGCACAGCGTCTTATTAGATTTGTAACTCTGGCCCACATTCTTGCCTCTGGACTGGTTTCCCTGGAGAACTGTAACTCCCATAAGGCAATGCACTGATTTCCCGCTCACTGAGCTGCGTGGTCATGGGTATCATATGACTCAGAGCATTATGGGAGATCTAGTCTAGCCAGGAATGTGGCCACATAGCGGCGCATGGGATATCAGGCTCCCCAACTACAACTCCCCTAAGGCAATGCACCACAACGATAAAATGCAGGTTAATGTTGAAGTTACTTGAAACAAAGCATTTCAGCACATCCCAACAACCCAAAACAAAGCATTCTGATTTGGGGAATGTTGAAATGATTTGTTTTGATCAAAATATTTTGACATTTCCATATACAAGTTTTTCAGAATTTCTCTTCTGCAGATAAATTTGAAATTTCAAATTTCCATCTCATTTCAGGATGAAAACCAAATGCTGAAATTTCAAATTTTCATCTCATTTCAGGATGAAAACAAATGCTGAAATGTCAGAATTTCCCACAGAATGGAAATGCCAATTTCTGCTCAGCTCTAACAAGTACCTCTATAGAATAGGACTTGTTTACTCTCTGGTCTGCTCTGCATACAAGTTACACTGGTTTAACTAAAGCCAGGTCTACAACAGAAACTTTTGCAGGGATAGCAATGTTAGTTAGAGGTGTGATTTTTTTTATTACATTTCTATACTGACAACAGCCTCATGTAGATGTAGTTATACTGGCATAAATGTGCTTTGGTTGTTATTGCTTATTTTGCTGGTATAAACTGTCTCTATACTAGAAGGGTTTGCTGGCACAGACCTGGTCTAAAACTGTGATTTTAAGCTGATTAGTTAAACCAGTGAAACTTGTATGTAGACAAGTCCTCTGAAAGTACTGAAGGCAGTTTGGTCCCAAACAGGCTTAATTCTACCTTTACTTGGTTCCACAACAAAAATCTGAACAGTTTTTTAATGTAGTTTTTGATGGGTGAAATTTAACTTCATTTGCAATAAGAATTTCAGTTTTCTTACGCTAAAGAAGCCTTTTAGATTAGCATGGAAAGACTGCCCCACCAAGCTGTAGAGCAGAGGTAGTCACTAGCTGGACCATGCGCCAAATCCAGACTGCCAGACACTTTTGATGGATCCCGAAAACGTCTTTTTATCATCATCGTTATTTTTTTCCTCTGGCAGCTGCACCTTGACTATACCTTGACCAAGAAATTTGGGCCTTGACAAAAAATAATTGACTACCGCTGTAGAGAGAGAAGGCAGCAGGTACTCTCTGCCTAGCATGAAATGCTGACAAGACCCCTGATTTACAGTAAGGATAAGAACAGACATGGGAGGGGCATGTCTCAGAACATGGTATTTTCAAAAGATCTGTAACTTTCTTGTGTTTTTGAAGAGTAAAGTTCAGTTTCCTAAGAGCTGTTATACTTTGGTCTAATTCTGGTTGTTGAACTTGGTGTGGGGGTGGTTAGTGGCCTTAATCACTATTGGTTAGTCAGTGGGAAGGGCAATAAGAACTATGAGGTCATATTTCCTCCCCTGGCCTTCAATATGGAGGTAAAAGAGTAATTCCCGGTATCTCTGTAGGAACTCTAAAAAATTACTTGAGGAGTGAACCCTTCCTCGACTGGGAGGAGAATGACGAGCATGGAAACGGGTGTCTATTGGGGTGGGGGGTGGTGAGCAAGAGAGACTTTGGGAGGCACTGGCAAGTTCTACGGGGGCAGAGAGAGATACTGCTTATATGGGTTAGGTGTGGTGAAAAGACAAGCTACATAGAGAAGTGGGAAGAAGCTGGGTGGTGGGGATGTAGGAACACATTTCCATTTTTTGCTTGGGGCTAGCTACAAATCATTACACCCCTGCCTGAGCTTTCATGCGCAGATGCCTGGGATTTAAAAGATAAAAATTCTTGGAATGTGTAATGGGCAACAGAGTCCTCACTGACCTCAATGGGGCTCCCATGAAACTTTGTTGCTTTAAAAAGGATTGGGCCTTACAAGGGTCACTCCTTCAGGAGGCACACAAACTCAACCTGCTAGAGGAGTGCAGAGTAATTATGGAGAACCCTCAGAAGTAAGTTATTTTGAAATAATTCTGACAGCTGACTGAGGCAAAAAAGACAAAACCAAGGGAGAAAAAGCAAGCTCTTTCTATAGGTAGGAAGCTGTGATGCACAGTTCCTTCAAAATACCTCTGGCAAAGCATGTTTTGCTGACATCCTTTATTATTTTGTAGAAGAATATATATAGAGCATTTATTGGTATGATACCCCAGTTATTGGCAACACCATTTACTTGGGCTGTCTTGTACAAAGCAAATTTCCTAAGTCTGCACCTTGCACTCCCGGATACAAAGCTGAGAGAAGGAATTCCATTTTTAAACACTAACCCTAAGATTTGTGAACTTACGACTTAGCACAAATGCTGGCTCTCAAACCACAGCGCAGAGCAGTGTCAGTTACCTGCTATATAGGGTATCCCATATGTTCTGAGGTAGCATTACAACCAAGTCCTCTATAAAACCAGCTTTATGTGGAAGAACACCTATAAAAGAAGAAAAAGGTCTTGCTACATTTTTTTTTTTGGGTGGCTATTCTACATAGAGTTAGGGAAAGAGATAACTAATGTTTTAAAGGTCTCTAAGTCATGAACCACCTTTTGACCAATTCAAATAAAAATATAAGATATAATATAGTAAATGTTGTTTTAAATGATCCGTCAAAGTACCAACTCAAGAGCAGTCTCTTTTAAGAGGCCCCACTCTCTTTAAGATGTGGCTGAACATTTTACTGGAAAAGCTGAAAGGAATCATATCAAAGATTTAAATCAGACATATTTGAAAGCAGAAATGGATTGATTGTAAAGGCTTCTTTTAAGAATGCTGGTTGTAAAATGTTTTTTTAAATGATGGATTAAATTGTAACTTAAAATTGTTACTTAAGAGTTTCTGGATTACTCATGTAAAAGCCATTGATTGTGACTTACCAAATTCTATTCCACTCATTACTCAGTAAAGCTCATTTGTTGTCTTCAAGCTTTCTAGAAGTCCACAAAGAGGCTTATAGATAATGAAAATTCAGGAAGAGGGGGAACAGAAGAAAGGCTATGGGGATTATGGACAATGAAGTTTCATTTGCTGTTGCTCCTACTACTGTGCGAACACGATGTACTATAAACAGCTATTGTACATACACAGCATCCAAGCCTCTCCCTGTGGGGAAAACTAGCGAGGATGATGCATCTGTGGATGTAAGGGACAGCAGGTCTTGAACGCTGGTCCACAGGACTCTTTGACACTAGTAAGTTCCAACCTGCCACCTGTTGTCAGAAAAGGAGCCAAACTCTGATAGAAGACCCCAATCCTGGAAACTGATTGGTGGACCAACAGGGGTCCCAATTGGTTCACAGCTCCTATTTAAACCCAGCACAGCAACAGGAAATTGTCCATACAACTGCTTTCACCCTACTTAGGGCTGCTTCCTCAGCAATACCTGTTCATACTGCTGATCTCCTGGTAACCTGACCCTGCCTGCCTCGTGACACCTGACTCTCGATTTTGCTCTCTGGCTTGTGTCTGCCTCTGACCTCTTGGTATCTGACCCAGCCTGACTCCTGACCCCGATCCAACCACTAGATCAGACCATTTATGTCCTAATCTTGACAGTGGCATCTGTAGCAGCCCTGAGCAATGAGAAGGTGGTGCTATAGATCCATTGGGTTCTCGTAGGCTCAGGTTCTCCTACTGCACACATACACCCTACAAATGACCACAGGTACAGTATTTTCTCTTTTGCATGTGGTTACATGGGAGAGGGTGCTGGATATTGCATGGTGGTTGCTTAGAAAGTCAGATGCCCAAACAAGGGTGACATCACAAAACACAGTTTTCACTAATGTCTAGCAGAGGAAGGACAATTTATAACTTGTGTACAAAACATGCAAGAAAGTTGCCTTGATCATTATTGTTTTCATGTTGGATTCCCTGTTGTGACCTATCATATCTGGGTTCCTGGGATTGTTATCCTCAGTGTGTAGTTGTGACAAGGATTTATGTTACAAGGTCTTAGTCCAAACAATTATTAGGGGAATATAACTACGTAATCAAAGGTATAAAACAACAAAAAATCTATGTAAATGTTTTGAAAACGTGCAGACCATATTAGGGTGCTATGTAAAAACATGCACACTGAGGATAAATTATTATATACACTTTTTGTGGAATTACACTCTGTGGTCAGATCTTGAATGTAAAACACTTAAAGTAGGTCCCTAACCAGAAGTGATGACAAGATAATAAATAACCTTGGCTTCTGGGTAACTGATAAGAGTAAAGAATAAGAAACTGATTACATACAAGTTCCTGTATTTTAAAAAATTCCCTGCTGGCCAGTGAAATAAGTCTTCATCCTCAAAGGTAGATGTTCTCTTTTACTGGTACTTCATAAAACATTAGCAGTCTCACCTCCATGCATACAGAGGAAATCATTATTAGAAATAGGTCCTGGCTCAGCAAAAGTCTTGAATTTATTCAGCCACTGTCGAGAAATATAGAACTGCAGGAGACTTGGTTCCATCATAGTCAACAGACTTGATACCCTCTGTCTCTCTCTTCGTGCTTCTTCGTTGCTCTTCCTATTATATAAATAAAAAAAAAGCATTAAGCACAGGATGTATCCTTATGTGTGGTGCTGATTTACTCTGAACACTGGTTTGGAAACCAACTTTTTCCTTCACTGAATTTCTGGGTCATTACATTTAATACACCTAAAAGCCCAATTAAAAATATCCCATTACTATACCATTAAATAATTTTAATTCACGTTAAAACAACCAATAGAAAAGACACCCATTTAAATAAAGGATCTGAATTTTAATGTGTACTACCAAAATATAAATATTCCACATGCTTGAGTTTGTATTCTAATTTTGAAGTATTTGCTCACAATAAGCACAGTGTTCTTTTTGACAATATGGTCTATTCCTAAAAGGAACACAGAAGCAGTCATGGTCATTGGTCTGACCCAGAATATCTTGGCCAGCAGCTTGTATCTTGTGCTTCTAGCAAAGACAAAAATATTATCAGACTGTATCTACTCATCTGTGCAATTCTATTGTAACTTATTTCTGCAAGACTCAGTATTCAACTTCCAGTAGCAAACACACATCCTTTGCTAATTAAAACTAGATATCAGTATAAAGAATGTAACGCTTAAGAACAGAATAATTTAATAGTTGTAAAACAGTTGAAAGATAAGAGTCTAATTGCATGTACAGTTCCAAGTATAAAAGTGACAGAGATTGAAGATGGTAATAGCAGGTGTCTCCTTTACGTTGTCTGAGTTTCAGGAAAAGACCAGGACACAGCAAAATAAGGACACAGTAAAACCCCTGTTGTTCCAGTTCCCAGCTGCTAAAGAGTTTCCTCAACTCCCTTTATAGCTCTAACAATCTCAGTCTGTCTGTGTGCAGAATCCTCCCTGTGTGCATCCTCCTCTGAATAAAAATGAGGCAATCTTAATTGCCAGTTCTAAGACTCTTCAAGTTCTAGTAATCTCACTGAGTTTTCATTATCTTAAATCTGCAGAAATAATGTTCTGATCCACCTCCGTGCCTTTATTCTGAAGTTTTATAAGCATTTAAACATTCAAGCAATTTCACTTGTAATTGTTACAACAAAAAATAAATTGGTGGCAAAGCATTTTTATTAAATCAAAGCAAAGCATCTCCACGGTGGCATCTAGTGCTCCTCTCAATATCACATTAGAACAAGTCTTCTTGAAGCCTTTCCTCTATGGTAGCTCTCCTGCATTACTGCCTTCTTCAGAAGAGCAGAGTCTCCTTTTTTCTTATACTGAAATTGCTATGCATTATTAATGTGTCTTCTGAGGGCTATTATAAAATAAAAGCATTTCTCCAGCATAGTTGATTCTGTGGTGACACATACTTGACATTAGTTCTATCTGAATTACAGGGTCTCTTGCCAACAGCTGAGTGTCTGACTGACCCAACCTCCCGTCCCCAATTCCAAATGTCTTACAAAATTTATTTAGCAACCTAATTTAAAAAGCTGGGTGCCAAATGGCCAACAGCTCACAAGTGATTCATTTATTTGAACAAGGTTTATACCGACACTGAACTTTCTCCTTTTATTCACTTTCTTACCTGTAGAAGAGAACATAAGCTTCTGCATTCTGTACAGTGGATTCTGGTACTTCTGTGACACTCTGATCATCAAATTCATACCACAGATTATTTAAATTGTTTCGACAATAAGCTATATAATGTCCACCTAGAGTAAGAAGTATTAGAGACTGTACAGTGAAATGTGCGGCTATGAACAATATAGGTAACAGGTGAAGAATACAGAAAATTGGACATCTTTTCATCACATATGTTTAATGGTATTAATGAAAGGGACTTTTACTATATAAATTTGGTTTAAGTTCCTTATAAATCTAAGATCAGCTTTTTGTTCCATTCCCACCAGCTAAAGGCAGACATGGTTATGTTCTTTCTACATATGTTCTGCTCTCCAAGTGATCTTTAGTTTGACTGATTTCTGAGCAATATGAATACTCTGCTCTGGGTCATGATGTTCAAAACAGTCCATTTAGTACGTTATTTTAGTCAAAGGAACATCTCTGTCTAGATTTTCACATTCTCTAAAAGCAACCATGTACCTGCATGAAATAGGAACCATGTTCTACTGTTCAGCATCTCAAGATTCCTAATTTGCATCTTGGTTACTATTCACATTTAGAAGAACAGGAGGACTTGTGGCACCTTAGAGACTAACTAAATTTGTTAGTCTCTAAGGTGCCACAAGTCCTCCTGTTCTTCTTTTTGCGGATACAGACTAACACGGCTGCTACTCTGAAACTATTCACATTTAGGCTCAGGTTGTTTCTTAAAATACAGAGCACCTACAGTTGTGATAATCATATACCTGCCCTTGATCTGAAAGGAAGGCAGCATTTAGGGAAGAATAAGATGAAACAATTTGACCTAAACAATAAGGTCCTTGTCTTTGGGACCCACTACAGAATCTATTCTTGAGCTATTTTGACTCCCATTTCTGACTGAATGCACCCTACTTTTTTTTCCTGGTCTCTGACTCTTGAGAATAACATGGAAACTAACTATAATAGAACCCCAGAGTTACAAACATCTTGGGAATTGAGATTTTTGTTCAGAGTTACGAACACAGTATGTTTGTTATTTCAAAAGTTTACAAATGAACATTAACTCAGTAAAGTTTAAAATCTGTATTATGCAGAAGAAAAATGCTGTTTCCCCTTTTTTTTAGTAATTTATGTTTAACATGGTACTGTACTATGTGTGTCTTTTTTGGGGGGGTCTCTGCTGCGGCATGATTGTGTACAGTACTTCCAGTTCCAAATGAGATGTGTGATTGACTGGTCAGTTCATAACTCTGGTATTCATAACTCTGAGGTTCTACTGTAGAAAGGAATGCTACGTCTCCTTGACTGATTTGGGCATCATTAGGAAGCACATTACAACCAGAGCTCTTGGATCTTCATTAGATGCCAATACATTTCAGGATAGAACTGAAAGCATTTACTGTTAAATCTATGTCTTAGATGTTCAGGGCCTTATGTGAGAAATTGCCTCTCTTCCCACACCATGTTGCCAGAGTTTATAACAGAGGCACTGGAACTCTTTCAGACAAACAAGGAGGAACTACTGGCAGAATATTCTCCACAAGGGGAATTGGCAGTGCACTCCCCTTTGACAAGGAGAGTAAAAATCAGCTAATTTTCTGGACATGCACGAAGTCCATCTTTTCACCACAGATCTTTGTGGACGGAGGAGCTTATTTTATTATTCACATTATATTTGCTTGTGGTGTCACTAGCTGGGATGAGCAGTCCTTTATATTGCATCATTATTCGTACTGTGTACTTGAATTTATGTAGCAGACAACAGCAGGATGGTTAACTAGAGAGGTTTTTGTAAGTACTATTTTTTAAGTCATAAGACTGGTTGATTCATTCTTCTTCAAATTGTACAAAACTTCTAAATAACATTCCAAAATGTATGCCATAACTCATTTTAAAAAACAAATAATCAAACAGAACATGTACTAGCTTCTGGCTTCAATCAACAGTAAGACTAGTCAATTTTGGAATTAATATTACTACCACCATTGTCCATATTTACCTTTCAGACCAGTAAATCTTAATGGTACCCTTAATCCCACATCTACTTACATAAAATGAAGTGTGCCATGAACATCTGTCACTATGTTTGCATTCTGAAACAACAAACCTATACTTACTGCTGGCAGTTCCATGGTGGCAGATGACTGACAAGAGATCATATGTCACAATCTGAGCTGGACTGTCCTTAGCAACGAAAGGCTGAAGATCAAGTCCTTCCAGGGGAAAGGATACATGGGTACCAATTTTTGTGGAAAACATGAGCTCATGTCTGAATCTTTTGAGATGAATGCACAATATCTGTAAGAAGGATTGACAGACTTAATTTAGAACTTAGAAACTATACTGCAGAGGCCCTTTAGATCGACTTACCGTCGTGTCTTAACCGCGGTGAGTCGACTGCTGCCGCTCCTCCGTCGACTCCGCCTCCGCCTCTCGCGGCCGTGGTGTACAGGAGTCGACGGGAGAGCACTTGGGGATCGATTTATCGCGTCTAGACTAGACGCGATAAATTGACCCCCCGCTAGATCGATCGCTGCCTGCAGATCTGGTAGGTATAAACCAGGGGTAGGCAACCTATGGCACGTGTGCCGAAGGCGGCATGCGAGCTGATTTTCAGTGGCACTCACACTGTCCGGGTCCTGGCCACCCGTCCAGGGGGCTCTGCATTTTAATTGAATTTAAATGAAGCTTCTTAAACATTTTAAAAACCTTATTTACTTTACATACAACAATAGTTTAGTTATGTATTATAGACTTATAGAAAGAGACCTTCTAAAAACGTTAAATTGTATGACTGGCACACGAAACCTTAAATTAGAGTGAATAAATGAAGACTCGGCACAACACTTCTGAAAGGTTGCTGACCCTGGTATAGACATACCATTAGAGACTCCTATGGCCCCAGTACAAGCAGCTGGAATTAATTTCTTCTGCAGTCGGAGGCAGATGATGGCAGCCTCAGGACCCTCCACATTTATTTTAAATTAGTTGCATTTGGGATTTCCCCCCAAAAATCATCTTACTGATCCTGCAAAAATCCTAAGGCTACGGTAGCACTGAGCAGTTGCCAAAACCTAATGCTTCAATGAAGGACAAAGCTCTTCCCCAACTGCATTTAACTATTTGTGCAAGGGTGTAACCAGGATCAAATTCCTTCACAATTCTTGGAGTCATCAGCTGATGCTCTGAAGCATAAGATTTGATTACCTTTAGCATGCATAGCTACAAACCTAACAAGTCAGAAACATTTCCAGCTCAGCACAGTATTTAACTCTATGATCTCCAGCAGAAGTGAATTCCACAGGATGGCTACAGGACTGTAGGAAAAACATTTTTTTCCCTTCTAACTTTACCTTTCATTTTAACTGTTGTTCACTTTCTTGTAAAGTACCTGACCAAATGTGACTAGATGCGAACCTTTTTTTTTTCTTCTTTTTAGGAATGCAAGTATGCTGCTACATTTTAATTTTTTAACATTCAAGACACAATCTACTTTCTGTGCAACTCATTAACCTTGTCACATTCCCAATCATTCAGAAGAAACATTTTTAAAGGTGTGTGATTTCAATACCTCAGGAAAGTTTTGCACTTTGCAGAATTTCACTCCATTCCTTAACCTAAGCAAAGAAGAAAAACATCATTTAGTTCTATAAATGTTTCACCTCCTCTGCCAACTCAGCAAAAACATGACGAAGAGTTGCGTGTTACATGAGTAAACCTGAAATATTTCTGGAATGCAGATTAGACTTACTGTAGCCAAAGTGATATGAATAATGAAATCTTGAAGCAGAGAAAATCTGTTCCACTGAAGAATTCAAAGCAGTAACTATGTACATGTCTACCAGTTCTATCTAGCCAATGGATTTTCTTAGTATGGGGGAAAAGATTTAGCATTTAAACTTTGTGAAAGCAAATTATGGCTGAATTGCAGTTTTTGCTAAATAAGTTCATTTTTCAAGAATATTTAACTGCAGCAGAGTATCAATAAATAATTAGAATGGAGTGCTAATATGCACTCCATTTCCACTAAAGGCTATGAATATTCTTCAAGGTCCTCTGTATTTTACTGGCCCCATACTAGATTTACTTAAATTGTACTATGATGCTTGTACAAGAAAACAGTGTTATGTATAACAGCAACAACTGTTAAGAGTCTGACAGTGTTACGTTCCTTTATTTTGATAAAACATCATCATTTAGACTGCATTAACAATTAAGGATTTATCTTACAGTAATACAAAGGGTTGCTATACATTTAGATGAAATATTTCTTTATAATCCCTGTGATACTACACCCCAGGGGCGCGCCCTATAACCCCCATATTCTTCATTTGTATGTAATTGTGATATTGCATACAAAGCATGCCTTGTAAGGTATCATGGGAAA